TGAATGCATAGTGGCAAACTGACAACTTTAATTTTGTATGCAGACATTTGAGGGAAAGTATGCATCATGATTATTGGGTAATTGTCTTCACTGTACTGTATTAAACTTGGGAAAACTGCTGTAAGCCAAGGCAACAGCAAAATAATAGCTGTTCTCTGGAAATGCTTTTTGTAGTACCTGCCATAGTTATTACCTGTACTGTATCCCTTTTATTAAATTCTTTATCTGAGATTCAATTGTCTATTCAATAACATCAAGCATTAGTCAGATAACAGGCTGACATAAATATTGATTTACTCTGACTGATAATAGAATCAATCTCTCCAAGGCCCACGAAAATACTCTTTATTGAGGAGTCTATTCAATAAGCATCTGTGCAAGCCCTTTATATGTGTGTGGGGTGCATAATGTATATGAAATGTATGTTATAAGAACACATAAATCAAGTGGTGCCCAGCTACAAAAGACCATTCTATTTCAGTATTCAAGAGGTTTCCTTAGCAATAGATTCAATGCTTATCCATAAGCAGTAATTGCAATAAAATATTATACAGCACAAGATAGCACTATTAATCAACACAACTGATTTCTTTTAAGTGAACTACATATGTATTGGATTGCATTAATACTTCTTGTGCATTTTGTATGAAAATTAAATGCTATAAAGTGATTTTTTATTGTTGAGGGAACAAAAAATATCAAAGGGAAGTGAAGTAGCTTCAGTGCTTAGATAATGAACTACTGGAGGATGCCAATCTCAATGGTTTGAAGTATTACATTTGAAATTAAGAGATGTAATACTGAAGTCTTTGTCCTAGAATATAGGGCAAGACTATATCATTAGAATGGGACAGTACAAACATGGGCAATCTACTCCAGATTATGATTAGCTTTGAGAATGTATTATGTTCTGTATATTAATTTGCATACTATTTGCATATGAGTGGGACATCAGTTACATGAGATCTCTTCTGTTATAATGGCTGTGCAATTTTATTCACTGAGAAAAATAAAAGTTAGTATTACTTCTCTTCGTGTGCTTTGGAGCCTTTCATCAGCTCAATGACATCTTACTATATACTCTGACAGTGTAATCCTAAGTATTTCTACTCAGAACTAAGTGCCATTGTGTTTAATGGAGCTTGTTTCCAGGTATATAGGTGTATATTCTTATTCTTATTCTTAATAGGCTTGCAAGGGATTTTCCAAATATATATATTTTTAAAGAGAAATCCCCTTCCCCACAACTGAATGTTATCACATCGATCCTATATGAGTATATTTTGCATTCCCAAGAGATCATATGGGGGGGGGGATTTAATTCATAATTCTTCACACACCTATTCCCCTGTCCATCTTATTCCTAGAAACCACTTTTTCTTCTGTATCTGTGTCCTCTGTTATATTTCCTTTCTGTTTTGAAGCAACAGATTACTCTTAAAAAAAGAACTGTCACATGAAAAGTGACAGGTGGCTCCCTGTCTGGAACCTTGACATATTTCCACATATGCACTTTTGTTTTCCACACTTGACTTCACCCACATTTCTGCAGATTCATTTTTAACCGGTTTAGCACTACTAGTTCATACTGATGAAGTGGCAGGACAGAACCTATACAAAACACAGCTGCATTGTGCTTTCAGTATGGTACAACTTTCAGAATATATGATTAATGTTGAGTCACTGAATAAAAGGCTATATGCTTCCTGCTTTTTTAAACTTTTTTTGAAAAAGTAACTGCATTACAGGACCAAGTTGGAGGGTTTTTTCTCTCTAGTATTGCCCTGTGCATTGTTCCCGAGTTGAATTGCATTGTTGTTTCTTGAGGACTCGGTAACATTCACAGGTTTAACATGCAAGTACATAAAATTAGAATAAAAAAGAGTCATATTTCCGCAAACTTTGTACTTTGCACTCTCAGCTAGTTTCCCCTAATGTTCGAATGCTTTACAATGTGTTGCTTAGCATCCATTGAGAATGCTTCAATTCCTCTTCTTTTAAAAAGGACAAAACTGAACAAACCACCAAAATATTTCCATGTCGGTAGCATGCATCAAAAAGTGATCCGTCAGCATGTGTAGACTATAAAATTAGGCACAGAATTAGAGTCAACATCAAATAATATATTTATTAGTGGTGTGCACTGGATCTGTGGGTAACCCTGAATTATAAAGGGAATTGGGGTGATTTGGGAAGGTTCCCAATTTTCTGAATCAGATTGCACTGTTTTTGTCTTGAGGGATCTCTAAACGTCCAAGTGGCTCTCACTGGGAAAACACCCAGAGCTACAGAAGGTAGAGAGTGGACAGGTTTGGCTTTTAATGAGAAAATTAGAAGAATTGTGGCTCGGAGGTGGGACAGTGCCAGGTTAGGGAGGGCCCTCAGGAACTTGTCCTCTGATAGACCTTGTAAATGGGTGAACAAGTTGAAAGCAACAGCAGTAGATGCCCATTTTTCTTTCCCCCATATTTGCCACTGTCACCAAAAGGTAAGATTGCAGCCAGGTCCCTCAGGCAGATATCAAGAAGAAGAAGAAGAGTTTGGACTTGATATCCCACCTTTCACTCCCCTTAAGGAGTCTCAAAGCGGCTAACAATCTCTTTTCCCTTCCTCCTCCACAACAAACACTCTGTGAGGTGAGTGAGGCTGAGAGACTTCAGAGAAGTGTGACTAGCAGGTCACCAGCAGCTGCATGTGGAGCAAACCCGGTTCACCAGATTATGAGTCCACCGCTCTTAACCACTACACCACGCTGGCTCTCAACATCAGTGGTCTTGCTGGATTCTGGGGCCCTAGCAGCTGCTCAGGAGTGCTGGCTGTTAAAGTATTCCTGGTGGTTAATGCAGTGGATTACAGTGGTCTTAACCCTTGTGCACACACAAGGACTTAACATTAAGAAGAACTTTCTGTCTTCAAAGGTGGTGGACTCCTTCATTACAGGTTTTAAAGCAAAGGCTGGGTTCCCAGAGTGCTGTAGTAGCCCCCAACACTGGCAGGGGTTGGACTAGATTATTTTAAGGGGACTTTATAATTATATGGTTCTATAATACACGAATGCTGCTCTAGGTCATTGGGGCTGCAGCCCTAAACACACACCTAGGAAAATACCCCCTAGAACAAAATGGGATTTACCTGAGTAAACATACATAGGTTTCTGCTACTGAAATCCACAAAATCTGGGCAGAAATTTAATTGTAGAAAATTTATTATCTTTATCAGTAACACGAAGAGGAAACCTTTTTTTGTTTTCTACATTAACAGCAGTTGATCAATATTGGAATATAACATGTCATTTCATTTCATTGGCCTAGAAGTGCTACCCAGGTTAGAGTACATTTACATCACTGAAAGCTAGACTGGAGAGAAAACAAATGGGACAGTGAATGCTTGGAAATGATACAATGAGAAGTGTCTTATGGAATGGATGTGGTTTTCAAAATTGGGATTTGGCAAGGAAAAGAAAAATGCTATTTTTTATTACATGGGTTGACGTTCAGTGAGGGGGATTAAATTGAATATTGATTTTTTTGGAAGGTGTGACTGTGCTGTTAAAATGATAACAAAAATGAAACAAAAGTAAACAATGGAGAAATTGAGCACCAGAAGTGTTTCATGCTTTAAGTGAATGTCTTAGGTGTGATCAGCATTTCATAAAATTAGGGTCATGTTTCTCCAACATTTTTTCCCCTTCTGTTCCGTGTACTTCCATAAACTCAGAGGTTTTCTAGCAGCCCTTCTGTTCAATGTTTGTAGTTCTTTCCCCCCCCCCAATTAAAACCCAGATCTGAATTCTGTGTTGTGACTCACCTTGAAATTATAGGCTGACTCGTATTCTGTGGCAACTCCAGTGCTATCAACACTTGGGATACCCACACTCTGCATATATCAGTAGATACACCTGTGCAATTGAATAAAGATAAGTCACTTTTAAGAGCAGGATACCTAGGCACTCCAGACTAGAGGTCAAGTTCCAAAATATGGTTTAATGATTTGAACAAGGCACATCTTTGTTTTACTCACCTCACTATGAGAACCATGCTGACTTTTGTGTCCTCTCAATTAGAGGTATCCACAGCCCCCAAGTTTTATCTTATATCTGTGTTTTAGAATTCCAGTCTGTTTCTGGGTTGCTCTGTACACTCTCTGCCTTGATCTATAATTCAGGTCCTGGGCTGCTCTGTATAATATGAAGCTCTGTGTTCCCCATTCATTATAATGGGGAATCTAAAAACAGATATAACTCTTCCCCCTTTTGACCAAAATGGATGAAATTTACAGGCACAAACATACTAGATTTTACACAAGAGATTTATTCCAATGTAAAACAATTGATAAAAAAAGGACTTGCTTCAGTCAAATGCACACATTCTTTTGTGATGAAATGGTCTAATGATTAAAATAATAGTATATGGCAAGAGTGCTTGCTTGGGGATAGAAAACTTGGCATAATCAGAAGAGTGTCTCATTTATGGCTCCTTGTGTGAGCTACAGCCCAGCAGACCAGGGCAAGATCCGGAAAAGTAAATTTGCCTTTGTCCGGCATTAGCTGTATTTATTGGTCACAAACATCCACAAAACTCAAGGGGGGATTTGGTCAAGACAGTCAGCTCATCCCCTTCCCCTGAAGCAACAGTAATAAATCTAGCTGGGTTTACTGTTTGAACAAGATCTAAAAGCAGCTTTCAGAATTTGCCAGAGGAAGCTTGTGTAGCCATGAGTAAGGAGATTATGCAAACTGCTGAGCAGACCTGAGAGAATCTGTAAAAGCTCCCTGCCTTGTAGAAGTGCACTATTATTAATGCATTACAAAAAAATATATATCTCAGGCTAGGGGGGGTTAATACTAATTGTTGTTCTCTGCACCACAGAGCCCATCTACCTCATTCACCCTCTTATCAGCTTGAAACTGCTTGGGGGTGTCTTATATGAAATGGAAACCAATGCTTTCACTGGAAATTTCCTTACTTTGCATTCTAAATCTTGGACCTTTTTTTTTTGTTAGGTGTGATCCCTTGGTCAGGGATAGGGTATTACTTGGGCCAGGGGGTTCACGTGTGCTGACCCCAAGAATGAGACGGTGTTGGTTTCAGGGAGGGAGTGGACAGTGCATATGGAATTTCAGCTGGTCTCTGAACTTTCCTATGCTCTCTTACAAATGTCAAAATAGCCTTATCTATCTGCACAAAGACCCGTCAGAACAAAGACCCATTTCAGGGGTATGGAATCTTTTCCAACTGGCAGACCATTTTAACAGTTCTCCCAACCCCACCCAGTGGGGTATTTTGGGGGGATGGATGGATGGGGCCACCCTCTTATCAGTCACCTGATGTCACAATGACAATGAGTAATCAAAGCCCTCCTCCCCCTTTGTAGTGTGGCTTGGTCAATCAGAGCAGACACAGTGAACTCTTAGTCCATTTCTGAGTTCATTTCTCTTTCCTCCAGGTGGAGGACTTCTGACTGAACATCCACAAAGCAGAAAGATTAGCGGGCAGCCATCAAGGTTTTTTGTTTCATAGAATCATAGAGCTGTAGTTTTTGTTTTTCTCTCAGTGTTTTGAATTGCGCCTCTTGAAATTCTAACGGGAAAAGGCAAAATAATGTTGTGCAGGCAAAAACTAGTGTGGAGCTTACAGGAAATGCAGACCTAAAGACTACTGAGACTCCTTGCTTATGCATTTTCCTGAGCCAGCAATTCCTGACTCACACCTTAGGCTCTTAATCACCATGACCCTACACGCCAGCCAGACCTTGATACATGGTTGCGACCATTTAGGCTTATCAGTTCAACCAATTAAACCTTGTAGCTTCACTGGAATAAGTGTATTCTGAACAGAGATGTATGTAGGACAGCGATAATTTGAATGATGTATATCCCTTTATTTTAAGGAATTGCATTCTGTCCTTTATTGAGTTTCCAGGGTGGCTGAGAAAAAGCTGCCCCTCAAAAAAAAGAGGGAGGGGGAATAGAGCAAGCAACATCATTTAAACCTTATGCTCTTCTTCTTCTGGTTTTTAGACTGCATTCATTGATGCTACTGATGCTGGGTTTTTTAATGTAATGACTGTATATTGTAAGATACCCTGGATATTTTATAAAAAAGATAGGATATAAATTTTGATAAATAAATTCGAAAGTATGGCACAATTGAATTCCGGCTGCTGAATTTCACTTCTCTCTGTAATGAAAGCTCATTTAGCATGACTGAGAAACTGCTCAATGTTCATAAAGGGCTTGACGAAGCTGCCAGAATTCACTTTTCAAGAAGAAAACCGAAAGTAGCGAAGCGTCATTTTGCTCTATTTTACTCTGAAAGTATTTCTCAACAGTCTGCTGGACACTTCTTAAAATGTGACACTTTCAAATGCATGCCAAATTAAAGTGCAGTGTCACTACAATATGTGACTGAGATAAGAGAATTGTAAGGAGGCCTGTTGAGGTTTTAAAAAGTGAAATTACCTGGAAAATTAATTATGTAAATAATCATGGCAGAAGGTCTTCCCTTACATTTTCAAAGCCCAGAAGGCAGGCGGCTTGTGCTCTCAGCTTGATTTAGAATTGGCTTGGTATTTACAAGTTTTCTTCCTGCGCATTCAGAAAAGGCTCATTTGTTTCCCAAGAGTTTCCACCAGCTGTATAAAGTTGATGCTTTTGCACGGAGTTTGTGCACTGTGCCCACCTACTGTATTAGGAAATGTAGTTTGGCTTAATTTCTCCAATCCAGAGCATCATTCATAACAGAGGACTGTTTGGAAATTCCACTGCCTTTCCCTACCATACAAATGTGCCCAGAAACAAAAGAGGAGATTTCTTTAGAGCTGGTTCGGAGATCACAACCTCATGAAACAACTGCAAAAGGCAATCAAGATGACTGACCCAAATAGAGAAGATAGTGAACAACCAAAAGTGTCCTTGTTTGGCAGAACTGTTTACATGGTTCACAGGAATAAACCATTTTGCCAAAATAAGCCTTTGAACATTAAAGAGCTTCTGTTTACACTACAAATATTTGGGTTCCTGGTCTGATGAATGCTCACCCCACATATGCAATAGTTATAAGAGTATTCCAAAATTACATAATTAGAACTCCAACAGGGACACCAACTATAGGGGACAGAGGAAGCTTCATTCCCTCAATATTTTGGGGCAGGGGGTTCAGCCCCCCAATATTGAGGGGGCTGCCACCCCCCGCCACCACTGGGCTTCATCCCCCTGGCCTGCTTCTGGGCAAGCACTCAGCAGCCGGGCGGGACATGCAAGGATGAACATCATCTTCTGCCCATCCCATCCTTCTCCTGCACACCTGGGCAAGCACTCTCGAGCGCTTGGCAGCTGGGTGGGGATGGGACATTCAAAGGTCAACATCACCCTCCATGCACCCCATCCCTTGCATGCTGCAGCCTCTCTCCACCCCTCGGGTCAGGCTTGACCTGGGAATAGAGCAGTCGTGGCCAGGCACCTCATGATGGAAAGGCATGTGGTACAGCTCAGTTGAGGAGAGCAGCTCTCTGCCACCAGCTCTTCACTCTGAGGAAGCTGCCTCCTTGGCTCCCTCGCACGCTGGAACAGGCTCCGACGGGAGTCTGTTTGGGGGGGCGCCTGGTTGCATCTCCTCCAGAAAATGTGCCCAGTGGGCTGAGTGGGTCTGGTCGGGCTGGAGGGGGACGTCATGTGCCTGACATTATACACACATGATGTGCCCCCCAATGTTGGGCACAACTCGGTGCACCTGGACTCCAAAGAACAGCTTTTCCCAACCTGGTGTCATTCAAGTGTTTGAACTACAGCTTCAATCAGCTTCAGACAACATCAGGATTATAGGAGCTATAGCCCCAAAGATCGGGAGGTTACTAGACTGAAGAAGACTGCCAAAGAACTCCTGAGCAGAAAAGCTGAAATTTCCTAGCAAATAAATTTCTGACAAGTGTTTGCAGCTTTTCTTCTGTGAGCTGAACTATTAGGGAATTACAACATTCCCCTAGGGAATATTGAACAAAATGGCCTCCCCAATGTTGCCATCTTTGCATTTTGGATTTTTAAAAATGTTTTTAAATAATATTTTAATATTGTTGAAGAAATAAATGGGCTTGGCCTCTAATTCTTCCAGTTGTGCTCTCTTATCCCACGGCCTCCTTCACCCACCAGTATAAGCTAACAATATCCATTCAACAAAAAGTGAGACATCAGAACTTCACCTCCCTCATCAAAAATATCTGGCAACATCCCACCCCGCTCAGTATCACCACCAACAAATAGCATAGAGAATATACTGGGATGCCATTTGTTTCTCTCAGCCTTAGCTCTGTCTTTAACCTAAGTGAGCATTAAGGGCAGCATGAGAATGTATACCAGATAAGGGATAAGGGTATTGCATTCTTATACTGAACATTTTTCTCTCTGAATTCTCATTGTATATCACCCCCCCCCCCAACGCAGGAATGAGAATGGAATGTGTGCCACTTGTGCCCCAACCTAAATTCATGCTGAGAACTCAGTATGTTTAGGTTTCAATTTCTGCTCATATATTCTGTTTTCAGGGGCATGGAGGATTTTGATCACAGAGATCTCAAAATCCTCCCAAAGTAGTATTTAACACACACTGCAGTGATGCCACCAGAATCCAATTCAGTACTACATTCTTGCTGTTTCATATTGCAGCAATGGGTGTGCTAGGGACAGACAGATCTATTTCTGATCCAGTTCAATTTTACATGTGTTCATTCATAATTCAGTGCATCCTCATTAATCTGAATGTTAAAAGAACAAAATTCATATGTAAATTCATATCTAAATATTAATATGTGTGTTTTATCTCAGTGTAGAGGTGAAAAACTCAGTGTAGGTGAAAAACTCAGTGTAGAGGTGAAACTCATCACACCCAAAGAGAGTGTTTCAAAGCTAGTGGACCCATACACCTCACAGCAATAACCCAGTATGAAACATTCGGTCTCCTGCCAACATCTGCATCTCTTGCTTCAGTAAGTCCCATGAACTGTGGCAATAGCCAAGAAATAAGAACAACATATCATGACTGAAGCTGGGAAGTGATAGTCTCTCTTCAAGCCTCCAACACACTGAGTATAGAAGTTTACAAATACTTATAATTGTTGGCTATTTGCAGTATGGTAGTGCTGCAGAGAGCTTGCTCGGGAGACCATGCAAGGGAATAGATTTACTCCACTGTTTGGTCCCAGCAACAGGCATTGAGAGGTGTAATGATTCTGAACATAGACACTGCATTTAGCTATCAAGACTAATAGCTATCAAAATACGCATCACCCATGAATTTGTCTGATTACCTTTTTAATCCATCTAAACTAAATGCCGTCACCAGATCTTTCCAGCCATGAATTTTACCCCATTCATAATGTATAAAACTCTATTGAATAAAACTCTAATTGTGTTCCTCACATTCCCCCCACCAAAAAAAAAAAAAACAACCACCACACCAAAATCTCCAAACACATCCTGGCCAGGATTCATTTAAGTAATGATGAACTTTTATAACAAGCCCCCCTCAGTCCCAACCATACCAGCAAGGGTTCCATCTGCTAATAATTCACGCTGCCATACATGCACACAAAATTATGGGTACAACTACTATGGATAGGGGGAGGAATTCAGTGAACTTGATTTCTAGAGTGGACTCACCTGATCTGCACTTCCTGAACCAATGTGCCAACTGCTTGAGAACTTGGGGTCATCCAGTGGAACAGATTGGCAGTGGATTCAGGACAAGCAAAATAAAAATGCATCATTAATTGATGGAAATTGCTGCCAGACGATTTGTGTTGGCTACTGGCTTAGATGGCTTTTCAAATTCAAGAAGAAGATGATGATAAATGCACATTCACCATGATGGGTATTTGGAACTTCCAGAGTCCAGTGCAAGTATGTTGTTGAATACCGCATGAGAGGTCTACAGCCTTCCAATCTACTTGTGGGCTGCTCAGAGATTTCTGGATAGCTGACTTGCAAAGAAGAACACTGGGTTAGGTGGAACAATGGTGTGATCCAGCAGGACTCTTCTGATAGTCTTACACTCTTAAATTATTACTGTTGGATATATGCACTCGATCTCAGCCCCATTATTGTGGAGTCTATCCAGGAGACAGGAGACAAATCTTAGCAACTCACCACTGCAACAGGCAAGATGATTGTAGGGCTTTTAAAGGCTTTATTCAGCCTCTCTTGTGAGGCCTCAGGGCAAAACATTTGGGGTACAATCCAATGCAGTGCTAAGGAGAACAAGCTCCCTTCTCCTTGCACTGCTCTTGGGTTTCTCCTGACTACCACAGAGCAGATTTGTTGGACACAGGTGGGATTGAAGAGGGGTGGAGTCTCTACACTGGCTTTTGCTAGAAGAAAGCATTTGCTGAATTTGGCCCTAGAGATCCAAAGAGATGATTTAAGCCCAAGGATTCTCAATATGAGACCAAACAAGACTGCGCCTTTTCTATATCCCTACAATCTGCCTCTCCTCCCAGGCTTAGATACAGCAGATTCAGGGCGGGGCTTCTTACCTCAACATTGCTGCAGAAAAGTACGTTTAGCAATTTCCTTAAAAACATGCTCTGTTTCTACTGAAGGTAGGGGAGATTTGCTGCTTTGCATTGGAGAAGGATAGCAGCTGAGGTTATTACTGAATGCTATACAATTGCTAAACAGAAGCAGGGAAGCAGACTGTCCTTTGATCATAATCCTTGACTAGAAGCTTAGAATATTTGAATGCAAGTTCCTTTTTTGCTAGCTTTTATGATAAACATGAAAGGAATTATTGCTTCCCTAAACTTTTTGTTCATAAAAAGTATATAGACTTGCCTCATTAATACAGAGCTGCTGAATCAGTTGTCAAAGAGTGCAGCTGTGAATTTTGCTAATTGCCTAATTAATCTAATGATATATTTTTCCTATCATGATCAAACTCATACATTTCTGTTCTGGAGACTCATTCTTCAATAGAGTTGTCTTTATTTTGTTTGCAAATTATGACTTATCAAATTATAGTAAGCCCAGACATACTAGTAGAGCTGGGTAGATAATATTTCCAGTCCACCAAACTAAATTAATTAATTTTCATTTTTTTCTTGTGAAATATTACTCAGTGAATATCCACTTAATAATAATGAGTTGGATGAATCCAGTGACTCCAATCAACTGTACTATAAAAAAGAATTTTTAAAAAACTAGTTATAAACGATAGGATACCCATTGGGTACTTAGGCCTAAAACTGATGCACTGTTCACAAAGCAATTGCACGTACAGCAAACATGTGAGGAGAGGGCTCAAATGGCAGCATGTCTGGTCCCTACGTACACACATTCACTACACATTCTGCACAGTCCGTATCCATATACAGTACAGACAATCTAGTGAGCACATGTAGGTGAGATAAGAGGTTGCTGTTCTGATTCCACTTTTACACCATGAACATTTCCTTTTTGTGATTTTTTTTAAAAAAATGTATACTTGAGTGTGCATAGATACATTGCCTTACAGGAGGGCTGGAGAACCTGTGGTCTACAGTTCTCATCATCTCTGACCATTGGCCATGCTGCTTGAGGCTGCTTGAAATTCTAACCCAACAACGAGAGGCTCTTCACCCCTGCCTTAGAGATTGCTTTGTGCACATGTATCTTCTTTTTTCCAGAACACACCCTCTTTTTCAGGGGTAACATTTCTGTATGGGTGGATTTTTTTTAATTTGCCAAAATGTCTATGGCTACGCTTTTTGGCTGAGACGTAGACATAACGGGTGGTTGAAGACTTGCTTTCCTCTTCTCTTCTCCTGCCACCCTCAGCAATGCATCATAGCTTCTATAATAGGCATAGGCAAACTCGGCCCTCCAGATGTGTTGGGACTACAACTCCCATTATCCATAGCTAACAGGACCAGGGATGATGGGATTTGTAGTCCCAAAACATTTGGAGGGTCGAGTTTGCCTACGCCTGGTCTATAGCCTACATATAGTAGGGGTGTTTAAAATAAGAGTCATCGTGCGTCCTCTTTTTTGCTCTCCAAAATGTGACAACCCTAGCACACAGGTATCTTTTGATTTGCCTTTGAAACCAAAGTATGCAGGCCAAATATTGTGATTGTGTCCCATTGGAATCATGACCCCAAATTTCTGGTTCCCAATCCAAAATCCATCATTATGTTCAATACATTTACTTTGGAAACATGCTTGCACATAAACAGTATGCGTTGCTGTTATATCTACATTCTCACATTTCATTGTTTGTGCCAAACCACCCACATTTTTCTTGTGTTTTTAAGCTCTTTTGAGGGCCAAAGTATTTTTTCACAGTATTTGAACACTTTCATACCAAATCACATTCTCATGAGCAAAGCGTACATGCATAAAAAGAAGTACATATTCATAAAATATTGTAATACTTTCACATTCATTGGAGACAGACACATGATAATGAATACATATTGTGAAGGCTTCAAACCCATGATGCAGTGTGAAAAACGTATATATACAAAAAGATCTAAAGCTTTTAACTGAAGTGAGCAATTTGTAATATTGAAATAATGGCAACATAAATGACACCAATGAAATATGCAGATTAATTTTCTGTAAAGATAGGGCTGCGATACACCTGGATTTTTGCGGACATTACTGGGATTTCAAAGGCGGAAGTCATGTCCAGTTGTGCTTTGTCCTGGATCTTAGGCAAGTCAATCAAACCAGGATGTCCTGGTTTTTACTTTTTTAAATATGGTGACCCTAGTAAAGATTCACATCTTGGGACCATTTGTATCTTTTACACATGGGACTGGCAAATGTTTTCATAGAAGGTTCAGTATCAATACTGCAGTCAGTCCAGGCAGCAAATAAGGTATTTTAGAATGGACTTTGGTGGAAAAGATGCTTCTTTTGGTGCCCTCATTTGGTCTGTTGATCTGCTGTGCTGGGAAATTTAATCCCTTCCATTTCACTTTGTGTTTTTTTTTAAAAAAAAATAATATTTATTGCTTTTCCAACAATTTAAACACTACAAAAAAAGAAATAAACAATACAATACAATACAATACAAAGACAATACCTAACACTAACACATTAAACTAACAAAACAAAACAAAAACAGTTTAAAACACATCAAACAGTTTCAATATCTTATCTTTCATTCACTTGTTTCAATGACCTCCTCACACCTCCCTTTTTGTATTCCACTTCTATTAATTGTTTCAGCAATTCCTTTCCATCTTCCTCTGCTTTCTATCCTTTAATTATCTTAACACATTCTAACCTTATTTTTCCCTTTAATACTCTATTAATCTATTTATACTTAATTCCTTATAACATTTCTACTAAAGCCATATAACTTCATTCCAACATTTTCCTAACATTCATTAATTTTACAGTATTTCTGTAAATAGTCTTTAAACTTTTTCCAGTCTTCTTCCACTGACTCTTCTCCCTGGTCTCGGATTCTGCCAGTCATTTCCGCCAATTCCATATAGTCCATCAACTTCATCTGCCACCCTTCCATTTCACTTTGAGAGCGTAATGGCTTCCTGAGGTCAGGTTCTTCTAGTCAGTGTGGCATCTCCAGTTAGTTTCTCTGAGAATCACCACTGAATTCTATATGGTTAAAAAATATTGCTGCCATATGGAATGGAGCGAGTGACAAAACACCACATCCTGTGCTTGCTAGGACGGGGCCAATTTTGCTCCCAATTTGGACTTTATTGGAGCAAAATCCTCTCACCACCTCAAAAATCTGGTGGCCCAACTCCACCAAGATGCACTGTGTGAAGTGAAATGCACCTACGGTTGTGCAGATACACATAAAAAGGTAAAGGTACCCCTGCCCGTACGGGCCAGTCTTACCAGACTCTAGGGTTGTGCACTCATCTCACTCTATAGGCCGGGAGCCAGTGCTGTCCGCAGACACTTCCGGGTCACGTGGCCAGCGTGACAAGCTGCATCTGGCGAGCCAGCGCAGCACACGGAACACCGCTTACCTTCCCGCTGGTAAGCGGTCCCTATTTATCTACTTGCACCCGGGGGTGCTTTCGAACTGCTAGGTTGGCAGGCGCTGGGACCGAGCAACGGGAGCGCACCCCGCTGCGGGGATTCGAACCGCCGACCTAATGATCGGCAAGTCCTAGGCGCTGAGGTTTTACCCACAGCGCCACCCGCGTCCCTTTGCAGATACACATACACAAACACAAACACACACACACACACACACACAATGGCAAGATAGGTAGGATGGCAAGATGATTAAAAAAAAAAGACAATGCTATGAAAAAATAGCTAAAGTTCCATCTTCAAAGTACAGGAACCCTGTTCTTTTTTGCATCTGGCCATCCTAGTGCCAGATGTTCTTGCAGTCTACAGGGCCTCTTTCTACACTTGACTTATCTATAACAATGGTGGGTGTTTCGCTACAATGATAATTTCCTCCTGCTCAACCAGCCTAGCTGGCCAGTTGAATATTTCTCTGATGTAAGGCATCCTGTAACGCCTTTCAACTTTCCTGTTACTTTAGGAGAGGATTTCACATCTGTTTCTTTTCAAACTTGCCTCTCTCCAGGTTAATTGCCTTTGCCAGTTGTCAGGAGGCATTTTCTCTTAGGAATCAAGGTGTTGCAGATAGCAATTTTGACAGCTTGACAATGCAAGTAAGTTTTACAGGCTTGGTTCTCTGTTCTGGGTGTGGAAGAAAAAATTGTTTTGGGGAGCTTTAGTCTGAATTTGGAAGCGTAGAGTTAAAACGATTGACTTGTGTGAAGGGAGAAAAGGGGGTTTGGCTGATAATCACTTTGTGGGATGCTTGAGTTATGTCGCTGTTAAAGTCAATTGCTGTTCAAAGCCATCTGCTGGAATGGTACATTTGTAAACAAACAGAGATTAGGATAATTCATTAATCCTTTGTCTCCTGTCCACTCATTATTTCTGCTAAGAAAGTAGGCTACTTCCTTAGCAGCCAAGTGTGTATTAACCTCCAAGGACAAAGCCAACATTTTAATTGGCTTCCCTCTAAGAAGGGCTTACATGCCTGCAGAACAGGCACATTTCCAAATCTATTTCATTATTGCAATTGTAGTGCCCATGGCTTTAGAATTAAATAGACTGTGTTCACATTTGGTCAACACAGCATTCACAAGGAGTATTATAAATCAGTAGATCTTTTCGTTCTGGAATGTATCCTGTTCTAGAAGGTACCTTCAGAGGGAGGTTAGCAAACTGTAAGCAACATTTTATATTCTTCCTCCTCCTCCCTTTCGAGTTATTGGCAAAGATTCAGTATTCAAAACTAAGGCACTGGTCTGAGTGAT